TCCGTGAAGGAATGAGTCCTTATCCATGGAAGCCTCAACGAACCAATAAAAATCTTTGCAAAACAATTTTTAAAAAAATGCTCAAACAGTAGCTCGTGAAAATTGAAGTCCCATTCCAACCCCATAAAATAAACACAGAAGAGAAGACTTGCTTTGTTTTTCTTTTTCTACGCTTATGCACGTGAATTCCCAATAATTTCTCATGCAAAAGTGGGTCCTAAAGCCAGCCTCGTTTCTTTTGTTCTTAAGCCAAATTCCAACTCTCAAGAATCTCTCCACTTCTCCTCTTCTCGTCCCTCCTCTCTCTCATCAGTCCTTCGTGCCTCCTTCCCACGTCCTTTGATCTTTTAAATATTTCTAATTGTTTTGTTTCTCCTTCAACAATTGCACCGGGATATTGGCAGAAATCTAGATGGCTTCTTGCTCATCGATGGTGCTTGTAGCTGTTATTCTACTTCTTAGCACTAATACTCGTGGAGTTTTCAGTAGCTACAGAGAGAAGGAAGTCCTTTCTCTGAAAAAGCTTCAATGGTCACAGAGAAGTAGCAAAACAAGTTTTTTATCGCAAAAATCAAGTGAGTATGTGAAATGATGAATGCTAATAGATTCTTTAATTGTGAATTGTAACTTTGTAGCTTTATGAACTCCTTTGGGATCCGTTTTCATGCACTGTAGTTTCTTGAAATGCCATAAGATTCTTTCTCTGTCTCTTCAGTCTGAAGAGACTGGACTGGACCGTAGCAGTAGTACTAGTAAAGTAGTGGAATTCAGCTGTAAAGAGCAAAGAAAAAGCTTAGTTCTCGATTGTGGTACAGTTTTATGCTATGTTAACTGTTTGAAGTTGGCTAGAATTGCTTCATTGCCCCCAGAACTGAGATTTATTTGCAAATTGTCTAAATTATGGACGCCAACAGAAAGGGAAGCTCCTTACGTACATTCTTTCTCCTTGTTTAGAATGGAAAATTCATTTCTCTATATAGAACTTATACTGAAAGCTCAAGGTTCGTTTCAAGTATAAATTTTCTTCATACGAAAATGTCTGTAGAATAAATAATACCTTTGCTTTTGCAGGAACGGAGAATGGTGCAACTATTTTGGAAATGAGGCACAGAGATTGCTTCTCTGGAATCATATCTGACTGGAATCAGAGGCTCCAAAATTGGCTACAGGCCGATAGAATTCGAGTCAAGTCAATACATGCTCAAATTAAAATCTTGGCTTCCGGCAAAACTGAAGCCCACTCCCAAACTCGGATTCCCATTGCTTCTGGTGTAAATCTGCATACTCTAAACTATATCGTGCCTGTGACAGTAGGTGGCAGAAATATGACAGTAATTGTTGATACAGGCAGTGATCTGACTTGGGTTCAATGCCAACCTTGCAAATTATGTTATAATCAACCCGAACCTATATTTGACCCCTCATTATCATCTTCATACCATTCAATTCCTTGCAAGTCATCAGCCTGTCAGTCTTTGCAATTTGCCACAGGCAATTCAGGACTGTGCGGAGGTGATGCAGGAACATGTAAGTATGAGGTGAGCTATGGTGATGGATCTTATACTCGAGGCGTTCTGGGCAGCGACCGCCTAATACTTGGAACCATCCCTGTTGAGAACTTTGTATTTGGCTGTGGAAGAAACAACAGAGGCCTCTTTGGGGCTGCTTCAGGTCTAATGGGGCTGGGAAGGAGCGATCTTTCCCTGATTTCTCAAACTTCTGATGTATTTGGAGGTGTTTTCTCCTACTGTTTACCTACAACTGATGTTGGTTCTTCTGGTTCGCTAATATTAGGTGGTGATGCTTCAGTTTGCAAGAATTCTACACCGTTTTCGTATACTAGAATGGTTCCAAATCCACAGCCGGTGACATTCTACTTTCTCAATCTCACTGGAATTACTGTTGGCGGGGTTGCTACACAAGCTCCAAGTTTTGGTAAAGCTGGGATTCTTATTGATTCAGGGACAGTTATTACGAGGTTGCCTCCATCAATTTATGAGGCTGTGAAGACCGAATTCTTGAAACAATTTTCAGGGTACCCTACAGCACCAAGCTTTTCAATCTTGGACACTTGCTTTAATCTTTCTTCATATGATGAAGTAGATGTTCCCACGGTTAAAATGCAGTTTGAGGGTGATGCTGAGCTCACTGTGGATGTCACTGGAATTGTTTACATTGCAAAGAGCGATGCATCTCAGGTTTGCTTAGCTCTTGCAAGCCTGACTTTTGAAGATGAGATTGGTATTATTGGCAATTATCAGCAAAAGAATACAAGAGTCATATATGACACTAAAGAGTCTAAATTGGGATTTGCTAAAGAATCTTGCAGTTTCTATTAGATTAGATGGCCTACAGGCTGCTGGTAGGGAGAGCCAAACAGCTAGTTGGCTGCTATGAAGGAGATTAGGCATTTCTGTTTCAGTCATGTATGATATCCATGATTCCTAATTATTGGGAATGGTATAGGTAGTGTAATTGTATGAAAAGCCACTTGTATTTGCTGAGCGTCCAAGTGTAATATATGACACTATGAAATGTAGCTAGGGTTCTGGAGGCAAAAAGCTTCAAGTGCATATCGGTTTTCTTGAGCATTATTTTATGAAAGTAAACCTAGCGTCATCAAGAGAAGCCATTGAAATCGTGGTCTGTCGTAGGTTTATAATCAAACCGAGCTGCTCGTGAGTTGCTCGCGAGTAACTCCGTCAAAAGCTTGACTTGAACTCGATCGAGTTCGAGTAGTTTGATAGACCCTAACGCGTCAAGTTTGAGTATCCAGTAGCAAAATTGGAAGGCTCGTTGAGCCTTATCAAGTTTTTTAATTTTAATTTTTAATATGTTATTATTATGAAATTATCCTTATGCCCACAAGAGTGGTTAAATTTACAAAATATTTTATATTGTATGAAATTTTTTGAAGGATGATAATGCTTTTTCACTCAAAAATTGTCAAAATAATTTCAAATTTTTTTGACTCGAGTTCGATAAGGTTAGCTTTGACTCGAACTCATGCGAGTTGAGTTCGAATTCGATAAGCAATGTATCGATCTCGAACTTGAGCTCCAATAATGTGACTTGCTCAAGTTCGAATATCCTTCCTGCAAGTCAAGTAGAGCTCGAGTATCGCGATGCTCGAGCTTGACTTGACTCGACTTAATTACCTCCCTAGTCCGGCGGTCGGAACAAGTGTGATATGTTTGTTACCTAGACCATAGAGGCCATACCTCCCAAAAGAAACAATCCTACGTACTTGGCACACTCAATATAGAATATAGATTCATTGCTTTTTATGTAGATTATGATTCCTAAAATACACAGAAATCACTTTGAAATGGATAACCTCAACCGTCGGATAATCTTAGCCTTACACCCATGGTTCAAAGTTGCCGTCGCAGTTCAGACCGTTCCACATCGATCTCGACATATCGATTATAATTTCGGCGAGACGTAAATTTTGAACCATTTAATACTCTAAAATTGTGAATAGTGTTCAAAAATATGCTAAACAAAAATAATAAAAAAATTAGCAAAAGAAAATTTGTAAAATGTAAATTTGCGAGTCGACTCGAGGTGATTCGAGCTGACTCAGCAGAGACTATCCATAGCGGAGACTTCTCGACCAAGTTCTCGGTGACTTGGCCGAGTTTTCGGTGAGTCAAGTATCTCAAAATCATTTTGTCCCGATATCATATCGGAGGAGTCTGTTCCAATAATGACTCAGCCGAGTCGTATTGGTCTCGATCAAGACTTTGAACCATGCTTACACCTATGCAATTATTATATGGAAATGCGATTTTTTCCACCCCTCTATCTCTTTGCTGGAAGGACAAAATGACTACAAATATATGAAAGTAATGCTAATTAGGCTTTGAGCATAGGAATTTCCAAAGTTTATATCTGGATCACCGGAGCGTGCTGGTAAATGTGCAAACATCCAAAATCTGCAGTATCTTCCACAAATTCCAAATCCAGCAAACTTAGACCACAAATCCGAGAGCAGGAATATAAGAATAGTGTACGAATTAAAGCAGACATCGGTGCAAACAATGCCAGCGGGATTTGGATTTTTTTTTGCTATTCAGAGGTCTCAACAAGAATGCTGCCAAATAATCTTGGAAAAACCAACGCTTTTGCAGTGCTAAAATAAATGAAATGGGAATATAAAAAGTATTATTATATCAGAGATTCTTAACACGAATGACCACACACAAAGCTCATCTTTGGAAATGCCTCGTAGACAGAGCATATGATTTCTCGTTCATGAAATGGCACAATCACTTGCCAAATTTCTACCTAATCTTGAATGATACCCTCCAGCCAGAATTTGAGGATGGTTAAATCCTGGCAAGACTGCCAGATTAATATCTTTATCAGCAGTCAATTAAGCAAGTTTCCTCCACTGAATCACTTTTGCATCAATGGCTTCCAGCCAAACTGCTTAAATAATGAGATCACTGAAAACTTGAACCAGCAGAAAGTCAAGGACGTTATAAACTGTTATCATATGAGTAGCATTTCTTCTGTCCGACTTCCCAAAATATTTCAGCAAACTTTGATGTGATGATCTAAGTATCAAAAAGATTTGGATACTGTCCATATGATATGATCTCTTGTCTGGCAGAAGCCGTTGGGGCTGAGAGCGTTCGCGGATAAGCAATTGCCGTGGGCAGGTCCAAAGCAAATAAAATGCAGGGATGAATAGAGGAACAGATACATAGGTCCATACGAAGCAAAAAACAGAAACAAGTTCATTCAGCAATAGTGCAAGAAATTTGCTCATTTACTAAACACGAGTGTCGGCTCAAGCATGCTGCTAATTCTGGTGGATGCAAGATGGAATTATTATTTTTTTTAAAAAAATATTTTTAGTAGATGTGTACTAAGAAGGGTAGAAATTACATCATATAAATATTTCTGATAGATCAAATCAAAACCAGAGCAATTAACATAATTGCCAGTGTTGTTTTCACCTCCAAGTGGTTTGCATTAGCTAATTGACCCACTAGCCAAAAAACGATGCATTGTCACTCCTGGTCCGAAATAGTAACGTTAAACAAGTTATTTAATGTATTTATGAATCACAACTGCAAGTAAGCATGCATGCGTCCACACATCCATGTGCTACACATACTACCTGTCGCTATTACTAGGTTGTTAAGAATTATACACTTCCTTATCAGCTAAAATAAAGATCCAAGGAGAGGCAGGAAACTAACTCTTTTTAAGTTTCCATAACGTTTATCGCTTTTGAGGACGAAGGTATGGTTAACCGGCCGCGTATCCCCGTATACAGTTAAACAAATCAACCGAAGAATTATGCCGGCTACAGTCCAGAAGTAACACGCACGCGCCGATCCACGCTGCCTAGCAAGAAATCACCTACTGCTAAAATATGCTACCACAAACTACAAAACATCAGACTTTGAGGTTTGAATTCTCGTTATTGACAATATTCGTCTGCTTGGCTGTAGAATCTCCAATGTCTGCTTCTTGCGCCAATCTGAACTTTAGAATCTTGTGAAGTTGTGTTATTGGCTTGACTTGCTTAGTGGGGGCACGCTTGTTGTCTACTATACATCTTCCGGTGAAAAGGTTGGCTTCAGATGGGCCTGTTTCTTGATGGAGCTCAGGAGCAGCATCTACAAACATAACTCAGTTTTAGTATACTATAGGAAGAGGTGTTCAATACATGTATTCTTCCTAAGATTTTTGCTAAGAATGATACAGATTTAAGATGCTGGATAAATAATCAACCGTGTAAAACCAAGAAATTCAACATTTCAATGTCCAAAATGTGTCCAAACTCGCTCGTAAAGTTTCATCTATCTACTCGTTCAGTGGTAACAGGGCAGATATTCTTCTTATTCCTCGTTCTCTGCCCCAGTACTTACATGAAGTCCAGAATGACAAATGTAAAGCAAGCGAAAAATAGGAAATTTTAGAACCCATAGCCAGCTGATTCTTTAGAGTGGGGCAATTTGGCCATCATTTCATCTACAACCTTTAATCCAGTCCCCATAGAGCTAATCTGAAAGCAACTCAAGGATCACCAAAAATTCCGTTTCAAGTACTAGAGCAGTCACTGTAAGTTACATTGAAATGAAGGGCACAATATTCGTTGCAAGAAATGAAGGGCCTTGCCTATGGTGGAAGAGTGGTTATTGACCTGTATGCCAACCACTTACACAACTACAAGCAAGAATCATCAGAAGACAAAAATCCTAAAAAATTTTGGTTGGAATTCCGTTGTGCCATTCAAAGCATAAAATCTCACTCAGCCATCATTTAAGATACGGTAATAGGACTTCAGCAAACTTACATCAGAGCTAATTAAAGTTGCAAAGTGCGTCAAATTTGAAGTGAAGGAGGAGAGTAAACTAAAGCATTTGACTGATGAGTTTAAAGGTAAATAAGGGATAATCGAAATTCATTGGTCTAATAAAGAGGTATGGAGCCTTCTCTGCACTTCTATGTCCAAACACACTTTTTTCAAATTAAAATAAAAATGGACAAAGAACAGGGAGGATTACATCTTACCACATTCGCTAAAAACAAGGCACGTCCCAATTGTTTCTTCATATTCACCTATCTGAGAAATAAAAGAGTAGTGTGACGTGAATACATCAAATACAATGTAGTTTTCACCACCCAAACCAAACAAATTCCAGAAAAGCTTAACACTCACCAGTCTAAATTTCTCATCGATGATCAAAGTTGGATTTAGTGTGTCTAAACCCTGCATAAATTAGCAACCAAAGGTTAGACATCACATAGCAAAAGCCGGAGCTGTAAATCATTTAAAAAATTCCAAACTGCACCTAAAAAAAAAAGCAATTTAGATATTGAAACAATTTTGAGCATTCAGAATTTCAATCAGACTAAATAACAAAACCAGAAAACACCGTATCCACCCCTCCAGGAGCAGAAAGAATAGACATGAACCAAAAAGATAAACAAGAAGGATAAACAGACTGCAAAAGTTATAAACATTGGATAAAGCAGCTTTACAATATATCTTCCAAAATTCCAAACTTTTTGCTTCTAAACATGGTAGCTTAAACAAGAACAGAATAGATGACGGACTTCGCATTTACCACAACAGAAGCAGAAAAAGAACCATATTTATAATCAATCAAGCAATTTTACAACACACACACACAAAGAAAATGACAACATGAAATTTAACAATATACTAATAAGAATAAAAATTAGAGTTTGAGAGCGAGGTTGAAGAAATATTACAGAGAGAACATAGGGAGCATTGGGAGGAATGTTAACAAGGTCCGTCACAGCATCCAGATTTATCAATACATACTCTTCTTCCTCCACCTCTTCCTCCCTTTTATCATCCTGGTGCCATCTTATATTGTTGCCTTCCATCATTAATTTGATTTTTAGCTGGAAATAGCATCAATTATTTCAGAGTATTACTCTAATCGCTCAATAGTTATAATAAATGAACATGATATAAAACTCACGTTGATGAAGCTGCCAAAACCAAAACCCCAGAACCCAAAACCCCTATTAGCATCCAAAGAATCGACATTCAGTAAAGAAAATCAAATTTCCCAGAAAAAACACTTGCTTAGCTTGGAAGGTTTTGTGAAACCTTGATAAAGAGCAGGGAAAGTAGAGATTCGAAATTACTCATACCCTTTTCGGCTCCAGGAAACTGAAAAGGGGAAAAAATTCCTCAGGAATGAGTTTTCTATGTTTGGCAAATATGCAAACTACTAAGGAAAGAAAGTAAGTGAAATTGCTAAGGGAAGTGTTCGCATATTTTGCCTAGAATAAGAGATAACCAGCTTCCACACAAAAACGCGCGGAAACGGAGGAGAAACAAGCCTAGATGGATCAACACGCATATCGTCAAGTAAAATGACAGAATCGGATCAGTTGTTAAGGAAAGTAACCCTCTCTTTTCTTTTCTGCAACTCACCGGACAGAGGAAGGAAGAGAGAAAAGGAGAGAGGGAAAGAGTCGCGTGATTGGATGACTACTGCCCGGAATTGTGCCGTCTCCGACTCTGGCGCCGCGTGGAATTGGGTAGAATAGTGGCTGCGATGGACGTTGGTGCCTTGGTGGGGATGGGGCTTTTTGGGCCGAGAAACGATGGAGAAGAAAGCAGTTTCAAAAATTTTACTTTAGCCCCAAATCTTTTGTTCTATGTGCTCAACCCCCTCCAGAGTTTTATATCACTGGACTTTAAATAACTTTTTAATGTTACATGTTGGCCGGTCAATTTTGTTGAGAAATAATTACATTAAATAACTTTTTTGTTTTGTTTTGTGAGAATGAACATTAAATAACTTCTACATAGGTTTGACCAAGATTAATTCAAGTCAAATAATTGTTGCTTTATAACTTTGGTTTACCCTTTTTTTTTTTAACCTCCCACCCCTACTTGACCCAGCCCAGCCACATTCAATGGAAACCTAATCACTGGCTAGTGATTTACAGTTTTAAAATAATTAAATTCTTGCTCATAATAGCTAGCTTTATTTTCAATCTTTTTGACAATAAAAACAAAAAATTTGTTAAAATGATGATAAATAGTTTTGGTCCCGCACGTGCAGTTATTAAAAAATGTGAGTCATAAATAGAAGATTGGCTTTAATTCAATATGTAAATCTAAGCACGAAAATTGCAGCCTAAGTCAATTCCCACCTTACCATATGTTTCTCTTTCATTCCATCTGAACTACCATTCTAACTTGTGACAAAATTACAATTCATGTCAAAACAATAATAATAATAATATTTTATAGACAAAATTATATAATAAAAAGCAAAAGGATTCAAAGGAGTGTACACTACGATAATAGGCTTCATGTTCAAAATAGAGAGAGAAAAAGAAAAGAAAAAATCACTTTGTGAGGAAAAAATGGACTTTTTTAATTTTAATGTCCAAATTAAGACAAAATTTGTTCACCTATTGTTGGTTGATATTTGATCGCAATTTGAATAAAATAATTTAATTCATAATGTGTTATATGGTAGAGTAAACATAAACTTATTTATGAATAGCTAACAATAGATATTCGTGTTTCATATATCAAAATTTATAATATAAAAGATAAAATAGAATCGATTCATTTAAAATAATAAATAAACAAATTTGAACCGTTTTTTTTGGTTTTACTCTTTCAAACTAAACTTAGCTTTGCATTTTCAAAATAAAAGCACCAAGTTTAGTTATTTCAAACATAAATGTAAATTGAGTGATGTCAAATTTTCAAAGTTTAACTTCAACCAAAATTGAAGAGGTCAACTTTAAAGTGAAAAAGAAAAATCTCATAACCTGCATGCAATTTGGTTTACATTTGAGTGTTAATTTTTTTTTATTAAAAAAAGTATAATTAATTTGGAAGAGTGTCTAGATACATGGGGATAAGTAACCAATATCAAAAATAATCATATTATATTTTGGTAAGGTTGATAAAAATTGAAATTCATATTGCAAAATCATGGGCATTAAAATTCTGCTTTTAGGGACTAAACTAAACTAATTAAAGAACATGTTTAGAATGAATCCAAACAAAAGGTAGTAATAATAACAATAATATAAACAGCAATTCTCAATTCATTCATCTAATACGGAAGTAGTAAGAGAGTTTGGAATTTGAATTCGAAATAATGATAAGATTAGTTATAATCCGCTATTTTAAAGATTTATTGAATTTGATGTAGTATTAAATTGGAGGCAGAAAAGGTGCATCGGTTTTAACTCAGCATGTAAACCTAGGCTAGAAAATTGCAACCTACATCAATTCAATTCTTAGGTTACCATATATTTCTCCTCTCTTCAATCAAAATTTAAAAACAGCTTAACCCCACCAGCAAGAGCCAAGAGGAGGAGCTAAGCAATATAACCACCAACTCACTAGCAAAACAAGACAATTCAGAAGGAAACCAAGAAATGTACTCCCCACACCAAACCAAACCCGCTCATAGACGGCCGTACTAACTACTAACTATCCACCCTTTTTCCTCTGCCGGCTTTCTGGTTTTCTCCTCTGATTTGCCACCTCGCTCTCTTCCAAATAATCCAAATAATCTTCTCTACGTCGCCATTTTTTTTTTCGTCCCTTTCCACCCTTTATATCCCTCACATCTGATCTGAGGAGGACCAAGTCATTCTAAATAGTTACCATTATTTCATTACTAGCTATAGTTCATTGGTCCATTATTATTCCTTTTTTCTATCTTCCTCCTCCTTTATAGCCTTTAATCTCTGCACTCATCAGAGCGATCTTTCCTCAATTTTTTCGTCCCTCGAGGTGAACTATCTAATCTTCCTTATTTCATGGCGAAATCTTCCAAGCAGAAAACAAGTTCCACTACCACCACCACCACCACCAGCATTGACGCCGATAATAATAATAGCAGTAACTCTACTACTCCCGTTGTCAAAACCACCAAAACTAAGCGAACCCGCAAGAGCGTGCCCAGAGATTCTCCACAGCAACGAAGTTCTGTTTATCGGGGTGTTACCAGGTACTGTAAATATATGAAAGTGGTGTGGTGATCATCTTTCCATATATAACCACGGCTTTTCTTTTCTTCTTTTTTGCCTTTCTTTATCGAATAAAATTAAAGGGTTTCATTTTACCACCTATGCTTGCTGCAGACACCGGTGGACTGGCCGGTATGAAGCTCATTTGTGGGATAAGAACTGTTGGAATGAGTCGCAAAACAAAAAAGGAAGACAAGGTTTTCTTTTTTTCTTTTAATCACAGTACTATTTAGGATGCATGTTTTAACGTCTTTGTTTTAATTAGTGGAGAGTGATTAACGTGGGGGTTTAATGTTTTCCTTTTTGTTGGGGTGTTTCTGTTGACCGGTGTTCACGGTGGACTGCAACAAAAAATGCAGTATATCTTGGTAAGTAGGTTTCCATCTTTATCAGCATTGTCATATATTCTTTAATTATCACTAAACCTCAATTCGAATTCTGAAAAGAAATATTACTGTACAATATCGGTTTGAAAAGGTCCACTCTTCTTGCGCTCATATATATATATATATGAAATAAGAAGAAAAAAAAAAAAAAAGAGTCACTACGTGGATACAAGCAATATTGTACAAGTGGATGTGGATGCTCCATGAATCGGGCTTTCTTTTTTTTGGCTGGCAGGAGCTTACGATGATGAAGAAGCGGCGGCACATGCATATGACTTGGCAGCATTGAAGTACTGGGGACAAGACACAATTCTCAATTTTCCTGTAATCTATAATTCAACTTGCAAATCTTTTTTTTTTTTTTTTGTTGAAGGAATTTATACTGTAAGATTTTAAAAGACTTGAATTTCTTTCTGTTAGATAATCATAGCGGTTTTGCTTGATGTATGTAGCTCTCGACGTATGGAAATGAGCTCAGCGAAATGGAGGGTCAGTCTAAAGAAGAGTACATTGGATCATTGAGAAGGTACGTTGTGTACAAACGCAGTTGCCAATAGGATCACAAATTTCCTTTAAATGTCATGGCCCTTTTTTATTTTGATGCAAAGTCGGATATCAACTTAATTTGAAGAATCTGTTTTGGCAGAAAAAGCAGCGGGTTTTCGAGGGGTGTCTCTAAATATAGAGGAGTGGCCAGGTAAAATTAGTTTGTTTGTTTCTCGAAGGGAATAATGTTATATTAATTTTCGCATTTGATGAGCATGGTTCACTTACCATCAAGCAAAATAAAAGACATGAATCCCGCCTGTGATTAAGACACATAAGTATGTTTCTCTCCTGAAATTAGCACCTACCTATCATTTACGGTCCTTTTTTTTTGGAGTTTTGTTTATAACTGATGCCCAACATTAGAATTGACTTAACAACGTACCGTGTAATTATTACCCTTCCTCGCATTTATATACTTTTTCCAGTTATTTTTACTTACATTCCTTTGTATTTATTTTATTTTTTCTAATTAAGAGTATTATCTTTTAAACAATATGACACGTGAAATAAATCGTAACCAGTATCCGTTGGCACCCGTTAGACAGATTTTTTTTTTTTTTATTTATAATGTACCAAAATCCAAATATTTGTTGTTCATATCACAACTTAGTATGAGGTGGGGTTTATACTGATACATACACGGGAAATTGCTGTACTCCGTTAATGGCAAGGCCCCTCCATCCAGTTCATTTTAAAAGCCAGCCGGTTCTGGTGAAGTAAACTTCTTATTATAACTTCTGGGCATCATCCAGCCACAAAGTGGTTAGGAAGACGTAAATTTATGACTCTTGACTAATTGATGCTGGACCAATGATACAAAGTTGTCAAAGTAGTGCTTAGGTATCCATCACCCTTACTTGCCCAATTGACATGCATCATGCATGCCAAGTCTGATCGGTTCTCATCATTTTCATGCAATAGCACATCAGTCAGTCCACAGATCTGGTAGAATTGAGATGGAACTTTTTGGGATGATCTTCTCTCACATTTTAGCATTAAATTCTGGCGGTGTTGATTGCGCAGACACCATCATAATGGGAGATGGGAGGCCCGAATAGGAAGAGTCTTTGGCAACAAGTACCTTTACCTCGGAACATATGGTAACTCTTTCCATCTTGCCCTTTGTTTACCCTCTGTTGGCTGGTATATTTTTTATGCCAAAAATGCTCATTGCCTCCTTCCACCATAAGGACAAATCTAACTAAAAATTTTCGTGGTTTTTTGAGTGTTATTCTTCTTCATTTCTTGGTTTAAGAGCTAGATTAATTATGACTCTCGTTGTTGTTGTTGTTTTCTTCTTTTCCCCTTTCCCCTGGTGTGATTCAATAAAAAATGAACCTGCTTTCTTAAAAAACGTTGTCAAGATTACCAAAAGTAGGTGACTAATGCGTCTGCAAGGCTCATTAATTAATGGTTAGATAATCTACTATAGAATGAAATCAACATCTTGGTCGCCCACCTAATTAACCAACGGCTCCCAATTACTTGCTCGTGGCACAACATTTGGCACTTTCCAAATTCAATAAGCTAATTAATCTATTCAAACAGATTTCATAAACATGATATGACCCTTAAGATTATCTATTGATACGCCTAATTAATTGGATATTTTAGTAGAGAAAGCTCCTTGTACCTCCATATGTCACTAAGATTGATTTGCATTCTTAACACAAGTCATGCCAAGTGAAAGCAAACAATAATAATATTTTGTGTTGGTTCTCACGTGGTATTATTAATAAATACCTACAATTAATCTCGAGTGATTAGTTTTTTTTAAGGAATGAAATTTTCTGAAAGTACTTAGCAGCATTCGTATCCAAAACAAAATTAGTAGATGAAAGAGATAGCATGCAAATTAATATGGTTGGTAGTTGTAGTGGATCAGGGGATGCAATCTTGAGTAATTATGTATATCTAAAGATGAAAATTTTGAAGTAGTTACATACATGCATTAATGCGTAGTCATGAACAGAATTAGTAGATGATGAAAGAGCATCAAATATGGTTGGTAGTTGTACGTGGATCACCAAACTCTCAACTGCTAAGGCAAACATTTAAGGTTTAAACTTTTTTGATGGAGTATTATAACTTTTTCAACCTTTTCCACCAAACATTATAATATGTGGGATGAATTCTTGAATTTATTATAGTTACGCCCATGCACGTCATGCAGCTACACAAGAAGAAGCAGCGACTGCATATGACATGGCGGCAATAGAGTACAGAGGACTTAACGCCGTTACTAACTTTGACCTTAGCCGTTACGTCAAGCGGCTAAGACCAAACCAAACTGGTAACGGTGTCAATAACGTTGCCAGCTCTGAACAAAACCCTAACGTTGACCTCGAAGTTAATCCAATCAAGGATGATGCCAGTGAAGAAGTGGATTTAAGCTTCATCCATCAGCAGCAGCAACAACAACATAGCTCTAGCTCGCCCGACACCTCCACCACCACCACCACCACCACCACCGCGCCACAGCCATGTCCAGCTGGCGGTGCCACCGCTTCGTCCGCGTCAGGGCTTCTCCTGCAGTCATCCAAGTGCAAGGAAATGCTCGAGCGGGCATCAGCTGTTGACAGCCCTTCGACGCCTCCCGAACAGCCAGAGCCGCCGCGGAGGAGCTTCCCTGATGATATTCAGACGTACTTTGCTTGTCAAGACTCGGGCAACTTTGCCGACGAACATGACAATATTTTTGGTGACTATAATCCATTTGCATCAACTATGTTCCCATGTGAGCTTGATGCATAGCAGAAGAGACGCAATTATATAAACGGTGGCTTCTCAAGAATTAAATATAGAATTATACATCGATTTTGTGAATACAGAGGTTGAAGACAGCGGCTGAGAAATGATAAGTAAGGCGACAAAAAAGAGTCTTAGGCTTCTAATTATTATTATCGATCGAGTTTTTAGTTAACACGGTGCTTCCATGCTCTTCCCATCTGCAATATCGGAAGAGAAGAGTTTTTCTTTCCTTTTTACTTTTGTTTGTTGGTTTGTTTGTTTTACTTTGGTTGTTAATGTAGATAGGTTGGGTATAGACATTCATTTATCAGTTGCATTGATAAAATTTTTGTAGCCAATTAAGGGCATTTATTCTTCTGTTAGTGTCACACTGTCTATTTTTTCTTAAACTTTTGTGCTTTATATCCCCTGTCCACCATCTAATCCAAATGTGGGGGTGGAGAACAAAAACTCCTTGCTACATAAATAAGCAAATAGGACACATACAGTATGGAACAAGTAGCTTGTTGCCTAAAAAGTGCCATTTAAAAATGGCAACACAATAAACTCATGAATGAATGAGAGATTACCATACCTTTGTATGCTGGCCTGACCCCCAGTAAAATCAGATGTTGCCTGCCACAGGGTATGCTTCCTAGGCTGTGGATTTGTCTCCCTAAAGAAAAGAGGTTGTCTTGCAAGCTACACCATTTAAAAAAAAAAAAAAAAAAAAACATGTTTTCACTATAAAAAGTTCATAATAACGACATACAGTGTAATTAACAAAGGCACAGTAAGTGTTGTTAATACCACTACATCCAAAGTCCCCGGTCCATCATCAGGATAATTCCCCTTCAAAGCCATTATATCAGACCATTGAATTTCAATCTTATTCTTGAGCCCGCCATCAAGAACCTCCCATACAAGCTTATGCTTTGCAAAATAACACTTTGCTACCAAATCCCCTTCATATCTTGACTTATACTAGAAATTAGAACAAAGATATGCAATCAAAATTAACGAAATCATAAGCAATCCAATAAAACAAGTTTCTAAAATCCATGATCAAATGCAAATGTATAAATATACCTCCCAGGTCCCAATTCGCAGAATCGTTGCTGGAAAATTTGAGGCCTTGAGCTTCTCAGAGGAACCAGAAGCAGCGGCCCCTTTAAGCTCTTTTTTACTGGAACTTGCACCCTTAGGTGAATTAGCTTGAGAAAGCCTCATTTGGATCAATTCCAAAAGGGAAGGACTTTTCCTCAGCCTCAATCCCAATGGACTCGGCTCGTCTAATGGGTTATACTGAGCCGGCGGTGCCACTGGAAAGCCACCCACTTCCCCAGTTCCCTGCTGCAACAGTCAAACCCCCCGAAAGTACATCAGAAATTGAACTTTCCAATCATACAGACAAAACCACATAGAATAAAACAAGGAAAAAAAACCCAAAATTCACATAAACTCCTAAAAACTGAGAGATGTTCAAGATCCAATTAATTGGAGTTAATCCGATTCAATATATATATATATACATACAAACTTAAAGCGGAAGACAAAACCCCAACACTTCTACAAGTATACATGAGAGAGACAAAGAGAAAAATTACGAACTTGAAGCGAAGAAGAGTGTTTGGATCGCTTATTAAGAGGGCCATATTCTTCTTCCAAAGGGTCTTCAAGTTCCCTCTTCACTGCCGCCATTTCCCCTCTCTGCAACTCGCCGCTTTTCGTCGCCTGAACCATCAAATCAGAAAACTACAAAACTGGAATCGCCCAAATCAATAGGAAAACTCACCAAGTCAAAGCAAAGAGTTTGCCCTAAACAACCAAAGAACGACAGATCTCTCCAATCTCAATTTTTCTTCAAAGCTTTGAATGGAAATTTCTACTGCTTCGCCTTTAAACAAAGTGGCTGCTAAGAAAACTAGGCGTAAAAAGCTTCTGACGCGACTCACACGTGTCACCAACACGCGCTGCTACTAACCTTGCACGTGCAATACCCTCACTCTCCACAGCAACCGCGTGCAATGCAGGGGTAACAAATGGAGTAAGAGTAGAAAATGTGTGGTCCAGATGAGTTCTTTTCCAATTATTGAAAATGAATTTTGTAAAGGTTTTCTCAAAATTTGGTCATTTTGCAAAAGATATCATTGGGTTGCTTGTGCTAGGGGTGGGTAAAATTATCCGCTAATCCGAAAATCTGTCATATCCGATTCGATCTGATCTAAAAATTAGGATAATCGATTTTTATTATTTGATCGGGTCAAAAGAGGGTCGGGTACCAGCTAAGATGCGGGGCGGGTTAGAGTCACATAATTAAAAATCCGCGGGTACCCAATCCGCGCCCGCATATATATTTTTTATTTTATTTTTATTATTATACACATACTATAAAATAATAAGAACTAAATAAGTAATTTTATTGAACAAATTGCAATACAAATATGAGAGACTATAGTTTATTTACAAGATTCATTTGTAGAGGCCATGATCTTATATTTTATAGAAAAAGTTTAATTAATGTGGAACATATATATTAAAAATTGTGCTACTTATTTCAAACTTTTATTAATTTCGAATTCTTTTAATTTTTTTCCTTTATCTTATATTTTCTTCACATGCTTGTTTCTTGGTGGGAAACCTTTTTTTAGAAAAAAAAATTTATTAAATCTTAGATTAATGTGTAAAATATAAAATTAAATTGGTATAAATTATTTTTTTAAAATTAAATAATAAATTGGGCGAAGCGGGTACCCGCTGATCCGACCCTATCTCAACGGGTACCCGCTAATATGCGGGACGGGTAAGGGTCAAAAAATGACTGACCCGCAAGGTGCGGGTCAGATCAGTCAAATGGTGAATGAGGCGGGTACCTGACCCGCTCCCACCCCTAACTTGTGCCTTTAGGTTACCAAATAAATAAACTCTTTATGCAATACTATTAATTTTTACTGCTCAATTTCAAAATTACACAAGTTACTTGCTATCAATTACAACTCATATACGTTTATATTACCGCGTCGAATTTAAAACTTGGCCTTAGACTCTCGCTGATTATACTATGGCCTAATCTAAAGTAGTTTCTATCAAATGTTATACAATTTTCATCAATAGCTCATCTTTTTTAATTCAAGAAAAATGGCAAACTTTACAAGAGAAGAGATGAAAAATTTAGATCTTGAGAGTCGAATCAGAGACCCCATTTTAATGTCCACTCAGAATTAGCTCCTTCTAATTTAGCCTGTCTCTTCTGATGATAACAGATATATATAGTAGTGAATCCCGCCCGATTCATACTTCTTTAGATTCTGTTTAAATTATATTTTTCATGATTTTTTTTAAAATTTTGTAAAAATATTTAATTTTTTAGATTACTTTTTACTTCACATGTATTACATCCAAAAAAAAAAAAATGTGTTAAGTGTATTTTATTCTACAAACAATTACTAAAAAAAAAAAACATCCATAGAGGTTCCAAAACCATGGAATCCTATTTCAAGTGTTGGCCTGTCGGGGGAATAGAAATTAGAAAGATCACGTGAGCGCAGTGGATAAAGTGCGGGGACCGCACATGAGAACGTTCTGCTCGTCTAGTAGTACAATACAATGCAGACAAATTTAGAGAGATGGAACGTAGGGAGATGGTGGAGGTTGGCGGTGGTGGGATGGTTGAGATGATAATGTCTGTACACGTGGAGAAATCCAGTTGCGTGTATTGACACGTGAGCAACCCAAGTGGATAATGTTTGTGAGTTATTATTGTCTCATTTTTTGTCCTATTGCGTAGGTTACGTAATCCACACGCGTTCGCTTCTGGTACTTGGCGGCGGCAACTGCATCACGCGCTGTTTCGTTGCTTTCTTTTCAAAAGATCACGCGCGTGATGCTCTTTTTGGCTGGCAAGTTTTATAGTTACTCTCCAAAATTTGATTACTGAAAACTATTGACATGTGCAGTTTTTGATTATGATATTGATGTTGAATTCGGACATAAAGGATAAGAGCAGTAATTTCTTAATGGGAAAAAGAAAAAAAAAAACCTCTTGCTTATCTCTTGCCTTGTGGGCCCTTTTAGCTTCTGCCATTTTGGGCTCTTGTAGTTTCTATTTATGGTTAGAGCAGATTTTTTGCTTTTAGGACAGCGTCCACTGAGATTGATGTTGTTGCCAAAATGAACGAATAAATAAATAAATGCTTTTATCTAAAGTTTTATATAAAAGATTTTATCCATTCTTCAATTCATCTCATCATGCAATATAACATTATTAATTTCTTCAAATCTACTCTCAACTGAGCAATGTTGTTCTAGCTATAATATATTACTAATCTTTTTCACTTCCTTCTTTTTCCCCTTCCATGACATCCAATATAATATAATATAATAGTTGAGAAGAAAAAGTCATACTACTAGGCTTTGTAGGAGAAGAATCCTCGGTGGGAGGTCTGGAGTATGGACCACGTATATGCTAAAAGAGGCCCGTTCACGTGCTAATTGACCCTTGTTACCAGTCGAAGGACCAACACATTTTCCAAAATTGAAAATTTGGGCTTCAAGGCCCAATAAGTAATCAACATCAAGGCCCAACGAATGTACATCTTCCAATCTACATTTTCTTTAGAACGGTAAAGGCAAATTGCTATTGAGTCCTTTGCTGAAAATTCATTGATGTTTTTGTCCACTACATTTTATTTTCCTTCACGGTCGCCTAGTTAGTGTTTTTTTTTTTCCCTTACTAGGAAGGGTAGCCAGGAAGGTGGGCTTAGAAGTGCAAATGAGTCAAGCTTACTTGAGGTGCTGCAAGTTTGGTCGATCAAAGTTTGAACTTGAACTTTCATTGATCGAGTTTGAACTCGAGTTCAATCTGATTGAATTACTTAATGAGTCGAGTTCAAACTTAATATTTGAAGATTGAAAACTCGTTGAGCTTAATCGAGTTCAATCAACCTTCACATATATATATATATATATATATTATTTTTAGGATAAAAAGTCTATTTTGTCTTTTGCTTAAAATTATATAAATTTATATTTATCAAAGATATGATATGGTCCAAACGATTTTGTCTCACTTACATAATGCAAAGTGAATGTTAGCTCTTTGCGAGGTGTTGTCCCCTTTTGTTCGGAGAAAATTGCTACGTTTTCGGTAAATACATTTTCCAATCACCTTTTTACCTTATATATATCAAATCGTTTCAATAATTTTTCTATAAAAAATCTAGAAAAATGCGATCCAAACAAATCTGTCTCCAAATATTCTATTATTGGTAGTACAATAGTACTAATATACTACTGTTAAGTTAGCCCAGCTGTGGAAAGTATTTGTTATTCGGCCAATTAATGCGATTCCAGTGAAGCCACCACAAGTGTTTGGTATACCCGTGAGCTACTCTTTGCCTAAATCTTCTCTAAACATTTATAAACCTGAGCTGGTTTATGTTTGAACAAGGATAATGCCGGAGAAATTCCAGACGCAAACAACACAATTTGTCTAATTAATGCAAAAGCCACACGAGCTAAATATATATAGATGTAAACATTCCTGTAGCAGGAAGGTTTTAAAACTTCCTATGCATAGCAAAGAGACAATAATATGTGTTAGCTTAGCTATGTGGGACATTTTCTCTCTTTTGAGTTGTAATTCTACTGCTGCAGTATCAGAGACAAGGAATTTAATCCTCCGCTTGTGATGGTTAATGTTATGTCATGTACATTTTACTTTTCTTTTTTTTTTCTTCTTTCTTGATATATATATATATATATATATTTCTAAGTATGCGATTGCAAAAAAATATTTCCAAGTACCGTGCATGATTAAGGACCATTGTACTTTATGTGTAATCTTTACACATTAATTAATTTGTTATTGAATTTACGTGAAGCAAAAACGAAGGGCGCACCCCAGGAGGACGGAAGGTAATGCAAATATTGATCCTTTTTTTTTTTGTTCTTACGATAAGTCTTGATCAAATATATTTCTTCATCATTATGCATTCTTCTGTTTTATCCAAACTAAACACAAGAATATTTTGCTTTGTTGATAAGTTTATCATAGAATTTTGCTTGGTTGGAGAATTTTGCTGATATGTTCTTGGCTACTAATAAAACTTACCTATCCAAAAAAAAGTAAGGGCAAATCGTCAATTTGGTCCCTAAACTTTTTCACTTAAACCAATTTAGTCCTTCACGGTTTTTTTTCACCAATTTAGTTCTCAAACAATTTTATCAAGTCCAATGTAGGACTTTTTGGGCGGCGCCACCACATTTTATGTATTTTTCACGGCGGACCAGGGGTATAATTGGAATGACAGGTATAATTGTCTAAACACCTTGACTAGAATGGCAGCTCTGTCACGATTAGCAAAAGAAACCCCTGCAAATCGACTTCTTCAGAGCTCATAGGAATTAGGGCAGAAACTTCGACAAGCAGAACTGAGGGAGAGACTTCGACAAGCAGGTGAAATGCAATCAAGCAGAAATTTCGACAACTCCGCCTCAAGTTTATGTAGCAGCCAACACTCAAATCTGGATAGTCGAGTAAGTGGGCATTCGACAAGGGTGAAGGGAGAGAGGGTAGAATTCTACAATGGGAATGAAGCAGTAATTTGCCATTGCCGTGAAGAATGTAGAATTGTAACTTCATGGACAGTGACGAACCCAGGCAGAAGATTTCATGGATGTATAAATTATGGGGTAATTTTTACAATTAATCACGACATATAACTTGTATATTTTGATGTATTATATAATTTACTACAACTAATAGCTGGAATTAATGGTCATTGTAGACCCCAAAAGCCTGCAATTATTTTCTGTGGTATGATCCACCTATGCAACAGATGACAAAAAATATGATGGCGAGAATTTTGAAGAATTTGAGGAAAGCTG